CCAATCCCGAATAAACCACCTCCTTCGGCTACCTTCGTTAACCATACGTTGGCACGTCCGAGCCCTCCTGTCTTACACCAAACACCGTCATATCCGGTGGTACACGGTGTAAACTATACGCTAGTGGACCACCTCCTTCGGCTACCTTCGTTAACCATATGTTGGCACGTCCGAACCCTCCTATCTATACCCACGTCTACCGCGAATCGGGAAACACGCGCTTTTATACTAGGACCAAAACCCGAACGACGTCGCAAGGCTGGTGATACCGGTCGAAATCCGCAAGCACCTGACAACCTACCGACGACCGTTCGGAACGCGAGCCGTAAACCCTTTAATAAAAAGGTGACAGCGGTGGGATTAGCCGTACACCTTTTTATAACACAGAAAAGAAAATTTATCCCGAAATTCTTTTTATGAGGAAGAAGAAGGCGTAAGTATATTTTGCTTTTTATGTAGTCCTACGCCGCAGTTGAAACTTCAAATGCGTTTTTCTCAAAACATCATTTTTAAAACTGGCAGATCTGATTGCCAAAAAATCAGAAGTCCGATTCACTTCAAATTTGTCACATATATTCAGTAGATATCCCTTTATCGTTCGAACTAGAATTTTGCAAATATTTGTAAAATTAGACTTTTGCGGTCAACAAAACTATCACCTTGTTCTGCAAAAATCGAACAAATTCCTTTAAAACCATGCTGTTCCGTCCGATGCGGAACAATACGGTAAAAATCCTCGAAGGTTCGTTTACGACATGGACGTGCCTACAAATTTAATTTCGCGATTAGCTTTTTTCGAGTTTTAGTTTATTTTTTTTATAGTATGCAATTTCACCTTAAGAGTAATAAAATGTATTCAGTCGTTTCGAGTTTTTCAAACAATAGCTTAGACTTTCACTTTCGTTCGTTCAAACAATCGGCCATATCGTAAACCGGGAACTTCCGAAGGGTCGACCAAACCTCGCTCACAACGGTTTCTGCAGTCGAAGGTCAACCTGGAGGAAATACCCGCGGTCATCGTCGAACCTTCGAGGACCTCCCCCCGATCGAGGCCATAGCCCTCACTCCCGCACCAAGAGGGCTGGCCAAAGGGCGTTCTTTAACGTCTTCGCATTTTTAATCGTACGCTGATTGGAAATTCGGAAAAGGCCAATCAGCGTATTCGAAGCAACCTGAAGGTGCCGACGCGAACATCGACAGGGCGAGACTTCACTTCTAATTGTGACTTCGAGTCCACTTCTAGTACTACTTCTAATTTGACTTCTAACGAAGACGTCTAACAAGTACTTCGAGCTTCGAACATCGTCGAAGAAGCTACACTCACGAAATTCGAGAATTTGTTCGTCTCGAAACGCACAAGATTATTCTAGTCTCAATCGTCCGGAGACTAGACTCGAAACACTCGATTTCTGAAGAAATTTGGAAATCGAAGCGTCGCGACCATCGACGAGACCAAAAGTTAAGCTGGGCCTTACAACCCCAGCCGAGGAATCTTAATCCGCGTTCGGTGATCGCGTACGGGCGAGCAATCTAGCGAGATTGCCAAGCTACGAAACATTTTATGGTCCTTCGAGTCGGATCAGTGACCTACGGATTATCAGTGCACAAGTGATCTGTGAACACAGTGATCTAACGAGTGCTAAAGTGATCAGTGGGATCCAGCACAAGCACGCGACGGAGCAATCCAACGAAGCCACGCAGCAGGCAACCAGTCCAGCCAACTCAGTCGCAGCTTCCCAAATTCAAAACGACGGTGATCAACCACGTTCTCCGCATCAGTCAAGGTAAGCTCGTTAAGAATAACCGATCGTTTCTTTTCCTGCGATATCCTTGATCGTGATTCCCTCCGTCTCGACTTCACATCACCGACGAAATGGCGAACGCGTCAACGAGCGAATCTGGCGCAAGTCAAGCGCAATCCCTCCAGATGTCCAAGAACAAACGCCGCGTGTTCAAAGGGCAAATAACGTCTCTCGGCAACGTGCTTAAAGTGTATCAAGACTCCGCGAAAGAACGCGTAAAAATCCGCGAACGCATCGAGAGGCTGCGAAAGCAATTAGACAATTTCAACACGAAACAAGACGAATTGGGGCTCATCGAGGGCTTCGAGCAGTCCGAAGCAGAACGCGAAGCAGTTACCGAACTGTATGATGACGTCATCGCTACCGCCATCACGCTGTTACAAGAGGTAGAGCAAGCCCCGACGCAGACGACAACGCTGAGAAACGCCGACTCACCCACGTTGTCGACATCATCAACCGCGATCGGTGTCCACTTGCCAAAAATAGACTTACCGAAATTCGACGGCCGGCTCGAAAAATCGGTAGCGTTCAAGGATGCCTTCTCAACGATGATCCACGCGCATTCGGGATTATCAGACATACAGAAGTTACACTACCTCCGACTCTCACTATCAAGCAAGGCGGAATCCGCCATTGAGTCCTTTACCATCAGCGAGGACAATTACAAGGCAGCGTGGGATCAGCTGATCGAAACATACGACAACACGCGAGCGCTCGTCCTGCAACATGCCGCGTTGCTTCGCAACACGCCCACTATGACAGACGACACGGCCGAATCGATCCGCGATATGATAAACCACATGCAATCTCAAATCAGATCGCTGGAAGCGTTAGGAAGGTCGTGGGAAAACATAGCCAACGACCTTTTAGCTAGCATCGCCATCTCAAAAATGAGTCCAGGGACGAAGCGAGAGTGGGAGCAGACGCTGTCCGACACGACGGTGCCAAAAATCGCCGACATTTTTCGGCACCTTCGTAACGCGTCCCATCGGTGCCGGACCGAGAACTCGACGACGAACACTCCAGTCGCAATTAAGAATCGCGCTTCCGCGGCATCCGATACGCCGCCGCGGCAAACACCCACGAGAACCTCACCGGCATTTCCACGGAAATCACCGACACCTCCCTGGAAAGTGTCATCGCCACGGACGGCCAGGAGGCAAACCTTCGTTTCAGCATCCCAATCGAGCTGCAAAATTTGCAACACCGGTTATCACCCGGCCTATCAATGCCAGAGATTTCTGGACATGTCGGTGAAAAACCGGCTCCAGGCTACACGCAAAGCAAACCTTTGCATCAACTGCCTCCAAGGGGACCACGCCACCGACAAATGCAACGGAGGGAAATGTCGTGTATGTCACGGACGTCATAACACGAAACTCCATCGAGATGCATCGCCCCGAGAAGAGGTCAGGAAGACGTGACTAAGACCGAAAAGCACCGGACGGCCAAAACCACGACGACAAGGCGTTTCCTTTGTCTCCGACGGGAAGACAAACGGACTATTGGCAACCGCAGTCGTGCAGGTATTAGACAGCGATCGGAAACCCATTCAGTGTCGAACCTTGGTGGATACCTGCTCTAATGCCAACTTTATCACGGAGGATCTGGCAAAAAGGCTACGTTTGCCGTCGACCCGGGCATCCGTGGCAATCCAAGGCCTTAATGAGGTAAACACCGTGGCATATAAAGCGGTATCCACAACCATTCAATCGAGGTTATCCAATTATCGACGGACACTCTCGTTCTTCACAATTCCAAGAATATCGGAACGAATACCGGATGTCCCACTCGATCGCTCCCAGTTGCGTATACCGGCCAACGTTCATCTGGCAGATCCAAGCTTCCACCAGCCGGGAGAAATAGATATGCTGATCGGCACCGGACCAGCATTGTCATGCCTCAGTATCGGCCAAATCGACCTCTCCAACCGAAGTGGACGCGATTTGGTCTTACAGAAAACGCAACTGGGCTGGATCATCGGAGGAAACATCCCAACGACGGCCACACGCGACACCCGTAAGGCTTTCGTCACGAGCCTGGACTTCAACTTACAGAAGTTTTGGGAAGTCGAAGAGGGACCTCAGGATCAACACCGGTTAGAGTTTCAGCCAAGATGGATTTACGACGGGGCAATTGCAGAAAAGCTTCGTCTGTCTACGTGACAAACAAAAGGGACCTTTTTTGATCAGCACGGTCACACCCTTGCAACTTAATTTACAAGTAAGGCCCGTCGTAAATCGTCGCGGTACCAAGGGGTGACTCGGCCTCGAAACCTCACGGTTTCAGCGGCAGTTAGCCACCACATGGCAATTCTGGGAAATACCCCAGAGTTGCCAAGTCGCCGTCCACCCCCGAACGCACGTGTAGGAGGCTCTGTTCCCCTTCCTCAAGGTACCACGCCAAGGGCGTAATGGAAGGGAGAACACAAGGTATTAAAACCAGTGAGCAGAGAAAAAACGAGATAGTTACAACAGACACTTAGAACATATAGAAACCAGAAGACAGAATAGATAAACCAAACGACACAAGTTTTTCACCGAAACATACACACATTCAGCACTCTCAATCAACATCTGTAAATACAATTTTTCACAATATAAAAACCACGTGTCCACCAAATTCACATTCATCTCGGTCCCAAGCCGTTTAATCTTGGGTGGTCCTTCGAGAACAATACATAGGCGGCACAACGTGCATATATCCAAGGTGAGCGCGCCTTAACAACACCTTTCGCCGGAAGAACGCGAGTGCGAGGAACATTTTGTGAAAAACGTGCGACAGGACAATTCCGGACGATACGTGGTTGCGTTACCCTTCAATGAAAGAAAGGGCGAATTAGGAGACTCTCGGTCGCGTACCTTAACTCGCCTTCTTTCGATTGAACGAAAATTGGAACGCAACCCGGAATTGAAAAAACAATACACCGCGGTAATAAACGAGTACCGTGCACTCGGACACATAAGACAGGTAGAATCCCTCGACGCGCGTGGCTTTTACCTGCCTCACCACGCCGTAATAAAACCTTCGAGCGCCACGACGAAGGTCCGCGTTGTGTTTGATGGTTCGGCAAAAACCAGTAGCGGCGTGTCATTATACGACGCATTAATGACTGGCCCTACCATTCAGGACGATTTGTTTACGCTTCTGCTGCGGTTTAGGACATACGCATTCGTGATTACCGGGGACATCGAAAAAATGTACCGCCAGTTCCTCGTGCGACCGGAGGATCGAACGTACCAACGCATTTTATGGAGAGACGAACAAGGCATCGTGCAAACTTACGAGTTGAACGTCATCACGTTCGGCCTCTCTTCGGCTACATTTCTCGCGATTCGATGCGTGCACCAACTCGCGGACGATGAATGCAACGCGTACCCGGTAGCGGCGGCCATCTTGAAACGAGATTTGTACGTGGACGACCTCCTCACGGGCGCCAACACAATGGAGGAGGCGAAACACGTACAAACGCAAATCGGTGAACTGCTTCAACGGGGTGGATTGAATATACGCCGATGGGCGTCAAACGAGCCCGCTCTCCTCAAGAGACTCAGCGAAGATCAAATCCACCTGAAAATCCTGGGCGACGACACGACAATGAAGGCGTTGGGAGTTTCCTGGGACGCCAGGAACGACGCGATTCGATACTCGGTCGAAATCCCAGTCAATGACAAGGTCAGCAAACGAACCATCTTGTCGACGATTGCCAAGATCTTCGACCCATTAGGACTTCTTGGACCCGTTACCATCATCGCCAAGATCCTAATGCAGCGTCTGTGGCAATTAAAAATTGACTGGGACGAATCGCTTCCCACCAGCCTTCACACGGAATGGATCACCTATGCGGCGCAGCTTCAGGAGCTCAACAATACCGAGTTCAGCCGTTGCGTAACTCGGAGGAACTATCAACGCTTCGAGCTCCACGGATTTTGCGACTCCAGTGAACGCGCGTACGGAGCTTGTCTCTACGCGCGCACTATAGACGAGGCGGGACGGATCGAAAACCACCTCCTCTGCGCGAAATCCCGGGTTGCTCCTCTTAAAACAATCACGCTCGCGCGTCTGGAACTGTGCGGTGCCGCGCTTTTGGCGTCCTTATACGCGTCTATTCGAAGGGCGATTTCAGTCAAAATCCACGACACATTTCTGTGGACCGATTCTACGATAGTGTTAAACTGGATCAACGCGCAGCCCTGTATGTTAAAGACTTTTGTAGCCAACCGCATGGCCGACATACAGGGCAAAATTGAGAAAAACGCGTGGCGCCACATCAAGTCGGAAGACAATCCGGCCGACTTGATTTCACGAGGAATCATGCCCGCTCAGTTCGTTCGAAACGCGCTATGGCGTCATGGTCCGGACTGGATCGCGACGGATCAAGCGAAGTGGACAGTCTCAAGATACACGGTATCAAACGAGATACCAGAAACGAGAAGAGTGACGTGTCTCGCGAACTCAACCGTTCGGAGTGACGAGATTCTCACTCGATACTCGTGTATCAAGAAACTTACGCGAATCGTCGCGTATTGCCTACGTTTCCGTCATCGCATCGCTGGACCACTGACCATCGAAGAAATTCAAAATGCCGAACAACGCATCATCAAGATGGTCCAATCTACGGCATTCGAAAGGGACATCAAAGATCTCGGATCCGGAAGACTACACGCGAAAAGTCAGCTCCGATCACTCGCGCCGTTCCTCGATAAAAATGGAGTGTTACGCGTCGGCGGACGTCTGCAGAAATCGGAATTACCGTTCGCGCAAAAACATCCCATCTTGTTACCGAAAGGTAATCACGTGACGGATCTCATCGTACGCGAGACTCACTTACGACACCACCACGCAGGTATTACGGCGACACTTTACAACGTTCGACAAGTGTACTGGCCCATTGATGGGAAGAATACAACGCGCAAGATCATCCGGCGCTGCGTCAGGTGCTTCCGGTTCAATACACCTGCCGTGGAGTACATAATGGGGAATCTACCTGCGACGCGTGTCACCGCAGCTCGGCCGTTCTATAATTGCGGTGTGGATTGTTGTGGTCCCTTTTACGTGAAAGAGCGGCGCTTCCGAAATCGAGCTCGAGTAAAGGTATACGTCGCGGTCTTTACCTGCTTTGCGACCAAGGCCGTTCACCTCGAAGTAGCGGGTGACCTGACCACCGAGGGATTCATCGCGGCCCTTAAGCGATTTATTGCACGAAGGGGACTTTGCCGAAATATCTACTCTGACAACGCAACGAATTTTGTCGGAGCAGATAACGAACTCACAGCGTTATACCGGTCATTATCGAAAGACGAGCAACTCAAGAGATTCGTGACGGACAAGGCGATCTCATGGCACTTTATCCCAGCATTATCGCCACACTTCGGTGGCCTATGGGAAGCCGCTGTTAAGTCATTCAAACATCACGCCAAACGGGTAGTGGGCGACGAATTGTTCACCCTCGAACAATTTAACACTTTCACGATCGAAGTCGAGGCGATCCTCAATTCGCGACCCCTCACACCTCTATCCGCAGATCCTAACGATCCCTCAGCCCTTACTTCCGGCCACTTCCTGATCGGTGATTCCTTAACGAGCTTTGCTGAGATTGATTTCAGCAGAACATCGACCAATAGGTTGTCCACCTGGCAACACATCCAGAAGGTCAAACAACATTTCTGGGCCAGGTGGCACAAAGAGTACATCAACCACTTAAACGAGCGTCGTAAGTGGACCACTGGCACTCACCACATTCGAGAGGGGACCATCGTGGTGCTGAAGGAAGACAACCTTCCACCTCTGAGCTGGCACCTCGGACGAGTGGAGGCCACGCATCCTGGGGCGGATGGGGTAATACGAGCAGTCACCGTGCGGACCAGCCACGGGACCTACAGGCGGAACGTGAGAAAACTGGCACCCTTACCTGATCCGGAGTCTCCTTAGCAGTGCCGCGAAACGAGATAGAGACTCATACGTAGGATAAGAATACATATATCGTCGCGTTACACATTGATCGATCGTATCGATCAACGGGGGAGAGCATGTTCCGTCCGATGCGGAACAATACGGCAAAAATCCTCGAAGGTTCGTTTACGACATGGACGTGCCTACAAATGTAATTCCGCGATTAGCTTTTTTCGAGTTTTAGTTTATTTTTTTATAGTATGCAATTTCACCTTAAGAATTTCGTTGGATATATTTAGCTGAAGGAATTACTTTTGAAGTCGAAATATTTAATAATCTGTATTTGCCCCACTATTGTAGCTCGAAAATTCTGCGCCGAAGTCCAGAATGCATAGCAGAATCATTCTCCATTTACAGTACGAGTATCGTACCGGTATGTTACGTGAAAATTGCGAAGATATGCTATCTCTAGCGTGACGTTATATGTTTACATTCGATTCGTTTAAATGTAACACGGGAACCATTTGAGGTATTGAAAAAAGAAACAACAACCTTGTGTTCGGTACCAAAAACAGGTAAGCTATCGTTGGTCACGTTTAGTTTTAGGAACTATATTTAACGTCGAAATATTTAATGACCAGTATTTGCCCCCACCATCGTAGTTCTTATATTCGACGCCGTCCTCCAGAATGCATAGAATAATCATACTCTAATTGGAGTACGAGTATCGTACCGGTACCCTACGTGAATATCGCGAAGAAATACTATCTCCATGAGGGACGTTATATGTGTATATTCATTTCGTTTAACAGTAACACGGCAGTCGTGTCAGATATTGAATTAACAAACGTCAACTTTGCCTTTGGTTCAAAAAAATGTAAAGTTTCGTTGGACACATTTAGTTTTAGGAATTATTTTTAAAGTCGCATTATTTAGTTATCTGTATTTGCCCCCATCATCGTAGAGAGAGAATTAGAGGTCGATGTCCAGAATGCATAGCAGAAACGTATTCTAATTAGAGAACGATTATCGTACTGGTTCGATACGTCAAAATCACGAAGAAATACAATCTCCAGTCGCAACGTTAAATGTGTATATTCGCTTCGTTTAATGTAAACACGGGAACTGTTTGAGCTATTGAAAAAACAAACCACACCTTTGTATTCGGTACCAAAAAAAGGTAAGATTTCGTTGGATATATTTAGCTGAAGGAATTACTTTTGAAGTCGAAATATTTAATAATCTGTATTTGCCCCACTATTGTAGCTCGAAAATTCTGCGCCGAAGTCCAGAATGCATAGCAGAATCATTCTCCATTTACAGTACGAGTATCGTACCGGTATGTTACGTGAAAATTGCGAAGATATGCTATCTCTAGCGTGACGTTATATGTTTACATTCGATTCGTTTAAATGTAACACGGGAACCATTTGAGGTATTGAAAAAAGAAACAACAACCTTGTGTTCGGTACCAAAAACAGGTAAGCTATCGTTGGTCACGTTTAGTTTTAGGAACTATATTTAACGTCGAAATATTTAATGACCAGTATTTGCCCCCACCATCGTAGTTCTTATATTCGACGCCGTCCTCCAGAATGCATAGAATAATCATACTCTAATTGGAGTACGAGTATCGTACCGGTACCCTACGTGAATATCGCGAAGAAATACTATCTCCATGAGGGACGTTATATGTGTATATTCATTTCGTTTAACAGTAACACGGCAGTCGTGTCAGATATTGAATTAACAAACGTCAACTTTGCCTTTGGTTCAAAAAAATGTAAAGTTTCGTTGGACACATTTAGTTTTAGGAATTATTTTTAAAGTCGCATTATTTAGTTATCTGTATTTGCCCCCATCATCGTAGAGAGAGAATTAGAGGTCGATGTCCAGAATGCATAGCAGAAACGTATTCTAATTAGAGAACGATTATCGTACTGGTTCGATACGTCAAAATCACGAAGAAATACAATCTCCAGTCGCAACGTTAAATGTGTATATTCGCTTCGTTTAATGTAAACACGGGAACTGTTTGAGCTATTGAAAAAACAAACCACACCTTTGTATTCGGTACCAAAAAAAGGTAAGATTTCGTTGGATATATTTAGCTGAAGGAATTACTTTTGAAGTCGAAATATTTAATAATCTGTATTTGCCCCACTATTGTAGCTCGAAAATTCTGCGCCGAAGTCCAGAATGCATAGCAGAATCATTCTCCATTTACAGTACGAGTATCGTACCGGTATGTTACGTGAAAATTGCGAAGATATGCTATCTCTAGCGTGACGTTATATGTTTACATTCGATTCGTTTAAATGTAACACGGGAACCATTTGAGGTATTGAAAAAAGAAACAACAACCTTGTGTTCGGTACCAAAAACAGGTAAGGTATCGTTGGTCACGTTTAGTTTTAGGAACTATATTTAACGTCGAAATATTTAATGACCTGTATTTGCCCCCACCATCGTAGTTCTTATATTCGACGCCGTCCTCCAGAATGCATAGCATAATCATACTCTAATTGGAGTACGAGTATCGTACCGGTACCCTACGTGAATATCGCGAAGAAATACTATCTCCATGAGGGACGTTATATGTGTATATTCATTTCGTTTAACAGTAACACGGCAGTCGTGTCAGATATTGAATTAACAAACGTCAACTTTGCCTTTGGTTCAAAAAAATGTAAAGTTTCGTTGGACACATTTAGTTTTAGGAATTATTTTTAAAGTCGCATTATTTAGTTATCTGTATTTGCCCCCATCATCGTAGAGAGAGAATTAGAGGTCGATGTCCAGAATGCTTAGCAGAAACGTATTCTAATTAGAGAACGATTATCGTACTGGTTCGATACGTCAAAATCACGAAGAAATACAATCTCCAGTCGCAACGTTATATGTGTATATTCGCTTCTTTTAACGGGTACACGGGAATCGTTTGAACTAATGAAAAAACAAACCGCAACTCTGTTTTCGGTACCAATAGAAGGTAAGATTTCGTTGGATATATTTAGCTGAAGGAATTACTTTTGAAGTCGAAATATTTAATAATCTGTATTTGCCCCACTATTGTAGCTCGAAAATTCTGCGCCGATGTCCAGAATGCATAAGAGAATCATAATCTATTTGGAGTACGCGTATCGTATCTGTACGTTACGTGAAAATCGCGAAGAAATACTATCTGCATGCGCGACGTTAAATGTGTATATTCGCTTCGTTTAATGTAAACACGGGAACTGTTTGAGCTATTGAAAAAACAAACCACACCTTTGTATTCGGTACCAAAAAAGGTAAGATTTCATTGGATACATTTAGCTGAAGGAATTATATTTAATGTCGAAATATTTAATTATCTGTGTTTTCCCCCACCATCGTAGTTCGAAAATTCGACGCCACGTCCAGAATGCATTGCAGAACCGTGCGCCATTTGGAGAACGTGAATCGTACTAGTATGATATTCGAAGGTCGCGAAGAAATACTAAAACCATGTGCGACGTTATATGTGTATATTCGCTTCGTTTAACAGTAACACCGGTACCGTTTGAGCATTGAATAACAAAGCACACCTTTGTATTCGGTATCAAAAAATTGTAAGATTTCGTTGGTCACAATTACTTTTAGGAATTTATATTTACGTCGAAGTATTTAATTATCTGTATTTTCCCCCACCAGCGTAGTTCGAAAATTCGACGCCACGTCCAGAATGCATAGCGGATTCAAACACCATTAGAGTACGTATATCGCCGCAGTATGTTATGCGAAAGTCGCGAAGAACTACTATCGCCTAGCCGACGTTATAGGTGTCCATTCGCTTCGTTTCAGAGTAACAAACCAACCGTGTAAGATATTGAAGAACCAAGCACTCCGTTATATTCTGGATTAAAAAATTGTAAGATTTCTGTTACGTCGTAACAAAGGACGAATACCATCATGCATCGCACTTGTAGTTTTCCTAGAAAACAATTATTCGCACCACTTAAATTCCTGCCGGTACATGCTCGATGAATATACATCTGCGTTGCAGATGTTAGTCCATCGACGTTCCAAAGGGAACACCGGAATCCAAGAATGCGTAAAATAAAGCTTTTCGATGGCCTACTTCCAATCGTGGATGTAGGTCCCATCTATGTCACCAAGGATGCGCCGTCGGAGTTCTTACGCAAGGTACGTAAACCTTGACAAGGACTTCGACGGTCGTAATACGGCGCGAAAATAATAGAAGTCTTTGAAGCGTCGAACGTTCAAGTATCGGCACTTGTGGCATGGCGCCGTTAGGGCTAAGCTCTCGAGACACCAGCCAGGCCCTGCCATAAAGTATCGAGAAAACCGAGCACTTCGCGTTAGTCACGGAAATGCAGGGTGGTACGCGTGCCCCTTCCTTCGTTTCAATCTCTGATGGGGTGGAGACAAAGTCGACCAATTAGGTCAAATTTTGTGCTTCACCCCCGTCGGAGCCTCGAAGCGTAGAGAGGGAAATCGCGCTTCCCTCAGGAGGAATCGTCCTCCGAAAAGACAGAACATTTTTAACGCTCGCCGTAAAAAGAACAATTTCAACACTCGTAGTAAATTGACCAAAATCAAAACTCGTACACCGGGAAAAACACTCGATCGTTCTCGTACAGACTCGATCAGCTTCTTTCTGAAGCTCGTAGTATGCGAACTGATTAAGACGCCGGCCGATTAAGTTGCCCGGCGAAGTGGACGTTTCCCTCGTGGATCACCGAAAGTCGCACGAGTCAGGAAATTCCACTATCACAGCGTTACTCTGACACCCGAGTCGGAAAAAGGGCGCATCTCGCACATTTATTGGTCCTTCGAGCCGGATATCCATCTGATTGACGTCGGATTCCGCCCGAGGAGCAATCCGGCCTATCATCTGTATCCACACGCCAGCCACGAGCCAGAGGAATCAACACGACTACGCAGATCCAGCCAACGAGATCTACGTACACCGAGGACCGGACTATCCTCAACCGCCTACTTCACGGCGACCGCAACTACCTGGACGGTGATCACCAAGGCATCGACCATTCAGG